AGCACTGCTTGCTGTTGTATCTTCTGAACTGAATTGGAATAATGGTGTTCTGGACTTTTCTGATTTGTTGTGTTCATGCTTTCACACAGAGTACTATACTCCTGTATAGGAGATGTCGTGCATGTGAGTGTTCATACTACATGTTTGCTTCTTTCTGCTGGAACAATGGCGTTTAACTTACTGTTTGTAATCTGCTCTTTAATTCAGTTTTGTTGGCTCTTCGGGTTAAACAAAGCCAGATTTCCTGTTGTTGCCTTTGAATATTTGTGCCTTTTGTTCTTTCTGCAATTTATCTGAAGTTAATTTTGTTTTGTCCATAGTTCTCTTCTTCTGAGTCTCTGCGTGATTTTTCACAAACAGATCAATAATCATACAGGGAGATTTTTAATGAAGATTTTCACAAACAAGGAAAAGGGAGGCCATACATTATTATTAATATTATATTATTATTACTTTTTTATTTTACAATGCTGTGCCATACTAGATTTTTGTGATAGTGCAGTGCAGACTTCTGTCAGGTTGGAAAGCCATTTGGTGATTCAAGCTTCCTGAATCAATAAGTGATAAGCAAAAAGCTTTAGAATAATATTAGCCATTCTCTAGTGCTACAAGAGCAGCAAAGGTCAACAAATCACCACACTAAAAAGAAAAAAGAGAAAGAAAAAGACAAAAACAACTTTTGGAACCTAAATCTTTCTAGTAGTTTAGTTTAATGTTTTTTATTCATCAGCCAAGAAATTCATGAATCTAATTCCAGTAGACCGACGCTGCTGCAGCTGTTGTGGACAAAAAAAGATGATATGTGTATAAAAGAAGATGTAATTTTTGAGCTTTGTTTGTATGACTGACCTAGAGGTCAGCTCAAATCCAGCTCTTTATGAGCAAATCTACTCTTTGCTCATAAAGAGCAAAGTTTGAAGCCTGAGCTTTGGGCCTAATTTAACTTCAATATTTCACACTATGTTTATTATGAGCATGAACAATTTAACAGTATAGTAATGACATATTTATTGACAAAAAACATGTATTTTATAAATTCAAATTAAACCTTCAACCCAGTAAAGTGTACAAAAAAGGAAGAATAACTATCATGTGAAAATGAATGTATATTATAAATGTAATTATATTAATTAAATACAGCAAGTTGTAAGACTTTGAGAAAATTTAGTCCTGTAACACCTCTGAAAACTAACAAGTTTCTCTTTTATTTAGCTCTTTAATCTTCAGTCATGAGAAATAATATGTGACTTTAACATTCTATTTTTATTCAGCTCCAAGTCCAGGCTTAAGATATTTAAGAGAATTTTATGGAAGAGCTTAGTAATCCTAAGTGACAGACAAAGGGGAATTTCTATCAGAGCTGATTCATTCGGTATACTGAATAGCAGGCTAATTGAAAGCACGCTAATCTAATCAGACAGACATTGTAACAAAAATCTAACAAGCTTCCAGTGGACGTTTCTGTGCTGCTGATTTGAAAGCTGTTCAAATCAGAAACGTCACCAGGGAAATATGTTGTTGGATGTGTTTTATTTTTTCCTGGAACATTTCCTTACATCATTGTTTCTACCCGCTGTGAGCTAAAATGAGTTTCTCAATCGGCATGGTGTCATTTGTTGAACCTCACTGCTAGACTGAAGGACACGCACACAAAAAAAATCTCATTTTCCTGCTTCTTCTCTGACATAACGTTTTATACTCACTCATCAATGCCCTCAACCAGCTTGAAGTTGAGGTTGTCTGTGGACTGTTGTGGTCTCCCTGCATTATCTATAAACACCAGTGTGGAGGGATCCGTCTTCCTCACCTGAGAATACACACAAACATACACAGTTAACATAGAGCCTACTGTTTGCTCACCAAGAAGGAAGTGTGCACCGATTGGAAGTGAGTAACATTAAACGTAATACAATATTAACAAGAATGAAAAAAGTTGATAAACTACATGTCATGGCCCTGGGTCATGTGACCCAGTATTCTGAGTTTCTTGGTGTTTTGTTATTCTTTTTAGTCTAGTTTCATTT